GCCGCCCTCGCACTTTCCGCGGCCCAGCAGCCCTGCCCTGCCTCGGTCCGATACCGCGTTTTCCTGGGCGCCCTCCCAGATTGCCCAGCCCGGCCGCCCCCGCCCCGATCAAAGACTGCCCCAGCTCAGCCTGAGTCACTCAGCAACCCATTCCCCGCCCTCCTCACCGCCTCCACCCCCCCCCACCCCCCGCCCAGTGCCCCACCTGACTCCCACCCCTTCTGTGCTGCGCTCCTCACCCCCCACCCCGCCCCTCCTGACTCCCGCCCCTTCTGCTCTGCGCTCCTCTTCAGCATCTTGCACTCTGGACACACGAGCTGTGGCCGCTGGGCCTTCCCCTCACCCTATGCACCAGCAGCCCCCACTCACCCCTTGGCCCTGCCCTCAAGTCTCCTCCTCAGGGCCCAGTGCTGACCTACGGGCTAAGCCCACCTGGCCCCGACCCTCTGTCCGTTCTGCAGCGTTCCCAGCCCAGCTGACTGTCTCCCCAGTAGCCCTGGTGGCCAAGCAGGACCGAGAGGTAGCCTGCACAGCGCACAATGTCACGCCCGTCAGTCCCGAGGCCCTCTCCTTGTCCCTGCTCCTGGGGGACCGAGAACTGGAGGGGGTGCAGGCCCTGGGCCGGGATGTGGAGGAGGAGCCCCAGCAAGGTGAGGACCTGCTGTTCCGAGTGACAGAGCGCTGGCTGTTGCCCCCCCTGGGGACCCCCACCCCACCCACCCTCCACTGCCAGGCAACCATGAAGCTGCCTGGCTTGGAGCTGAGCCACCACCAGCCCATCCCAGGTGAGTCTTCGGGGTTCTGGACAGCCTGCACTCGGTGTCCCCAGGAAGTAGGTGAAGTCACCCAGCTCCTATGTGCCTTGATGAGTGCTGCCCAGGGGCTCTTCTGGAATCCTGGTTCCACCCCTCACCTGCTGTGTCCCGGTGTGGACCGGTCACAATTCCCACAGCAGGTGGGGCTATCAAATGCCACCAGAGTGACGTTCCCTACTAATCTATTCAGTCATTCAACAGATTTATTGAGCACCTACCCTGTGTCGGACCCCCTGAGATTCTGTCCTACTTTGCCCACAGTCCTCCAGGGCTCCTACCTCCCTCAGGGTAAAACAAACAAAAAAAAAAATCCTCCTTCATCCACGGGGCCTTGAATGACCTGCTGTCACCTCCTCCCTCTTCCTCCATCACCCTGCTCCAGCCACATGAGCCTCCCAGCTGCTCCTCCAACAGGCCAGATGCAGTCCTGCCTCAGGACCTTTACACATGCTCCAGCCTCCACTGGGAATGCTCTTCCCCCAGCTGTGTCCATTGCTCCATCACTCACTTTCCTCGGGTTGCCTTCCTAGTGAGGCTTTTCCTGACCTGTCTGAAGGGTCAAAGCACCGTTACTGTCCCTTACACGTGTATGTGTACACACACGAGCCATGTGACTTCTCTTATTGCATATTCTTTGACACTTTTTATCAATATCTGTCATCCTGGATTTTCTCTTCATTTTTTTCCCATTGTCTGTCTCCCCTACTGTTGGCTTCGCTGAGATAGGAATATGTTTTATTCACGGCTACGTCCCCAGTGGCTAAAACAGTGCCCAACACATAGTAAGTATTCAACAGATACATTCCGAATGAGCCGATGGGTAGACGGAAGGACAGATGAAATCACAGTGCCTGGCACGTGGTAGGTACGCAGTAAATACTTGCTGAATGAATGAACAAATGAAAACATTTAACTTGGGGCTAAGAACACAGCAGGTGCTCAGTTCGTATCAGACATTATTAATTTAACAACGTGTCTAATGTGGGAGGGGCCCTGCCCACATCATGAAGCCCCTGGCAGGCTCTCATTAAAAAAGCACAAATCCCTTCTCCAGCAGGGCACCCTGAAACTCATGTTACTGCACTTGGGGTCATCGGGGTGGGGGTAGATCAAGGGAGCTCCCCCGGGGGGGGGGGGGGGGGGGGGCGATTGGAAGGGGCGGGGGGCAGGGAAGGGGTGGTGGGAGAGCACACAGAGAGGCCACTGGATCTGAAAGGTACTTTCTGGTAAGATGTACAAACCCCTCCTGGGGCTCAGCCTCCCATCTCCAGCACAAGGGATGAGCAGAGAGCCCCGGCACCCTTCACTTTGTCAGGGAGCACCTCCCCTCTGTCCACCTACTAGCCCTGTAATTTATAAAAGCCAGTACTCACCAAGCCCACACCCTGATTGCTCTCCATGGCACCCCTAGGATGGGTGGCTCTCACCCCCTTTACCACTGAGGAAATTGAGGTGCAGAGGTTCAGATGCTTACTCAGAGTGGGGAGAGGACCGAGACAGGCCCTGGCCCCACTCCTACCCACTGGAATACCCTTCGATTTGCCCAAGTGGCCCAGGATGGGGCCACAGGGTCAAACCCTGTGGTCTAAATGGAGAGGCAGGCAGGAGAAGGGGCCTGGGGCAGGAGAAAAAACAACCCCCCTGTTTTCCAGTCCTGCACAGGCTGACCTCCCAGGAGCCCCCTGTAACGACCTCCCCCAAGGCCGCCCCAGAGCTGAGCTCCACCCACAGCCCCAGGAGTCCTGGGCCCCCGCCTGGGAACAGCTCCACCAGGCCCTGTCGCCCTGAGATCCACCAGTCACCAGCACCAGGGGGTCTGGAGCTACTGTGTGAGGCAGCCTGTGGCCCCGGTATGTCAGCGAGCTGGACCCAGGCCCCCGGGGGTCTTGAAGCCTACGAGAGGCAGGAGGCTGGGGCCCTGGCTCGGCTGAGCGTGCCGTGGGCCAGGTGCAACCCTGAAGGCTGGTTTCAGTGTCGCCTGGACCCAGGGGGACAGATGGCCAGCCTCTACCTGGTCCCTGAAATCTGTGAGTTCTGCGGGCTAGGGAGGGGGCTGGGGGAGCCCCAGAAGGAGGAAAGCCTTGCATCAAGACCTTAGACAAGGAATGGTCCCGCCCGGCTTCAATTGCCCAAACTGTCCAGTGGGCTTCCCAAATGTAAGATCACGCTTACCTGGCAGGGCGAGGACTGTAAATCTAAGGGACTGTGTAGATTTCACAGCACTTTGTAAACTCTAAACTTTATAGCCTACAACAGCCTGTAGAATAGAATACAGCCACTTAGGTCATTTCAAATTTTCTAGTAGCCACATTCAGAACTATAAATGAGACATCTGACATTCTTTTCTCCTTTTTTCAAACTAAGTCCTCAAGACGTGGTGTGGATTTTACGCTGACCTCACTTCCCATTCAGACATGCCATATTTCAAACACAGGCATGGGGGGCGGTCACCTCACTGGACAGCCCGTTTCTAACTACAAGGTCCTATGTGCCTTTCAAAAGATTCACTCCAAAACCTTTGGATAGTCTAGCAGCTTTTGGACATTTCAAAAGACATTCTAAACCGTGGAGTCCTTTGTAAAGTTTCAGGGAACCCAGTAAATGTGGAGGCCCCTAGCAGATTCTACTAAGCTTCTCCCCCAAACCCGCCAAGAGGTGTTCAGAGCTCCCAACACTTCCTTCTCTAGGTCCCCCAACAACATCCGCAGCCCTGTGGCCGGGCAGCTTGGTGCTGGGGCTGCTCTTCCTGGCGTTCCTCACCCATCGCCTGTGGAGACGCTGCAGGCCTGCTGGCTGACCACCAAACCCCAGCAGACCCTCTGGGCCCCTGCCCCACGCAGACTGGATTGAGGAGGACTGGCCTGAAATGGCCTTCCTTGCCTTCCACTCAGTTGCAAACAGAGGACATCTGCAGGGTTCTGGATCTACACGGTTGAGAGCCAACCATGACCTGCTAACTCTGATGGCCAGCATCTGAGTTTCCCCTCAGTGGGACCCCTGGGGCCCCACCTCCCAATGGGCCAGGGCTAGGGAATAAAGGGTGTGTGGTCTGACCTCAGTGGTGTCTGTGGTGTCTCGGGGATGCCAGAATCTCCTACCCAGCCCCAGCGACCCTCTGCACTGGGGGGCTCCCCTGAGAGGTGGGGATGGACAGGCACCCCACCCCCACTTGGCCAGGGCTGGGGGAAAGGGCGCAACAGGGAGCGTGGCGTGGATTCTGCCCGGGTGGGAGAACACAACTGTTTGTGGCTTCTCCTGGATGTGGGAACACTGAAACTTGAGAATAACTGGGATTCCTCAAAACAAGTGGGGACAGGTATTGGGGGGGGGGGGGGGGGGGGGGGGAGGGGGAGGAGTGTGAGCAAAGACACAGAAGGGGCTCGTTAAAGGAAATTTTATCTCTCTTGGGGTGGCTTGGGGGCTAAGTCAGTCGGGTGGGGTTGGGGAGAGCTGGAAATCGGATGAGCAGGTGAAAGGCTGTAGATGCTGAGGATTCCACCTGCGGGCACTGGGGAGCCACCGGAGAGTTCAGAGCTTCAGAGGCTGTGGTGTGAGAGAGCCCTCTGGTGGTGAGGCAAGGTGACAGCATGGGACGGGGAAATGGGGGCCTTGGTTGGTCCACTCATTCAGGGAGCTGTGGGAGCTCAGAGCAGATCCCCCAATTCATCCTGGTGGGTGGTTGGCGGGGGAGAGGAGACCTCGCCCCACCGGGTGAGCCTGAAACTCAGACGGAGATTGGACTAGGCTGAAGGCCAGGCTGAGCACAGACTCAGCGGAAAATCAGAAAACAGGGCAGGGGCGGCGCTCCGTCCTGGAGTTGGAACCATCGCCCGCACGCTCCGCCCGGCATCGCTGATAACCAAGGAAACCGGTTGCTAGGGGACCATGCTAATGAAGGACTCGCCCACTACCAAGATGGCAAACAATCCGGCTTCAGGCCAGAAACCATGTCCTTTCCTAGAGAGCCATTTTGGGGTCTGGTAAAATTCAGGTTCCTGACCGAAGCCTGGGAAACTGTCCAACCCACGTGAAGAGGAACCCGGAGGGAAAGTGCCAATTAAAACCCAAGGGAGCGGGAAGTGGACTGCTCCAGTTACTTGCCAGAGTCTTCCAGCGGGATCCGGGCGGGCTCTGCCCTTAACCAAGATGGCCGTCCCGAGGCGCCAGCGCTCTGTGGAATACGGCGGCGCTTCCGGTCCCGCTGCCCTCAGCGAAGATGGCGGCAGTGGAGAAGCGGCGGCCGGCCGTGGCTCCGGCGGCCAGTTTCCCCGACAGCGGCCGGCCGGCGGTGTCCCGGGCAGCGGCAGCGACCGAGAGTGAGGAGGACTTCCTGCGGCAGGTCGGCGTGACGGAGATGCTGCGCGCGGCTCTGCTGAAGGTGCTGGAGGCGCGGCCCGAGGAGCCGATCGCCTTCCTGGCGCACTACTTCGAGAACATGGGCCTGCGCTCGCCTGCAAACGGCGGCGCCGGGGAGCCCCCGGGCCAGCTCCTGTTGCAGCAGCAGCGCCTGGGCCGCGCGCTGTGGCACCTTCGCCTGGCTCACCACTCCCAGAGGTGCGGGGCGGGGCCGGGGCGGCGCCGCTGCGGACCTGCAGCCCCAGCTCGCTGCCCGCGGGCGTGCTGGGCACTGTGGTGCGCAAGCCTCCCGGCGGGGGGGTGGGAGTGGGGGGGTCTGGCGCCTGTGGTTCTGGCCGTCTTCGTGTGTTGTGATGCCTTTCTGCAGGTGCTGAGTTCCCCCTTGAAGCCCACGCCACTTTTAAAAATCACAAAGTTCAGAGAGGACTTCACCCAAAGTCACGGAGCGAGACCTCCGAGCCAGGTCCTAACAAGCTAGGTTTTTTCCTAGATGTGTTGTTACTAGCGTCGTTGCATCCCCATCGTTAGGCCAGAAGATGGATATTTACAGGGCTGGGCGGTAGAGTCACCCAAGACGCCTACCTTAGGAGGTAGCGCCCGTGGGGCAGGAGTGGTGTCCAGAAAGAGGCCTGCTTTAGGCACAGGGAAAGGTGCTGCAGGCACGAAGCCGGCGGGTGCACTGGCCTGGAGGCTGTAGAGCCGCAGTGTGGGACCCACAGGCTGCTTAGCCTTCTGGTGGCTGAGGCCTGGTGGGGTGGAGGACATGGCCACCGTACCGGAGCACGGCCCCGCCCCCAACCGTTCTGAGCCCAAGGAAGGTGGTTGAGGACCATGGATTGAATGAATGGTCCACATCGGGGGGGGGGGGGGGGGTTGAGGAGAAGCTTTCTGACATGCACCGTCCACCAGACCAGGTCATGACTGGGTGTGGATGGCTAGGTCTTGGTTGAGACCCCTGGAGAGAGGCCCCTAGAAGCAGAGCCTGAGGCAAGCATCTGTGGGTAGGTAATTTTATAAGGGAGTGCTTGCAGAAGAACCAAGGAAGGGAGCGGAAGCCAAGCGAGGGAGTGTTCCAGCCTGATCACCAGGGGGTCCCCGCACGTTTCAAGCACGTGCCCACCTTTGGGCGGCCTCCCAAGAGAGTCACGGGTACAGGCCATAGGACAGCACAGAGAAGCTGGGGAGAGGTCTCAGGTGTGGGAAGGGGTGTGGAAGGTGGGCATCTGAGAAGAGCATACATGTGTCTGAAGGTCTGCAGGGGCTGGGGTGGGAAGGGAGGCCCAGGTAGCCCCTGGGGCCATCCACTGAGATGGGAGGCCATTGGTTTGGGGAAAGCGTGCAGCGTTGCTCCAGGCTCTGGGAGAACCTTGCAGCTGGAGAGTAGACAGGTAGGTCTGCAACTGGGACAGGAGGTTCGTCAGCTGGGAGGGGTGTGAAGGCTTCAGGAGAACCAGGAAGAGCTCAGGACCCAACCCTGAGGAGCCCAGCCTCAGAGAGCCCGCAGAAAAGCATGATCGGGCCAACCAGACATGAAGGCGGGAACCAGCAGACAATGGCACCCTGGGGCATCTTGCCGGGAGGAAAAAGGCCAGCATGTACGGTGACGCAGGTCAAGCACTGCATGAAGCACTCACCTACAGGCAGTCACAAATGAGGATATTTATATAAATGGCTTTTTGCAGAGCTTTTTCCAATTCACACGGAGGCACGTTGTGGACTGGGGCAGTCCTGTGTCCGTCCAGGGGCCCGCAGACGAGGGCGCAAAGCGTCTGTTGGATTTGAGGCCAGGAGGGCCCTATTCCTTTCCCGTGGCTGCTGTGACAAATTACCACAAACTTGGTGGCTTAAGACAACAGGTATCTGGGGCACCTGGCTGGCTCAGTAGGTAGAGCACACGACTCTTGATCTCAGAGTTGTAAGTTCGAGCCCCACGTTGGGTGTAAGAGATCACTTAAAAATAAAATCTTAAAAAAAGAGAAATACACACAGAAACTTATTCTCTCACAGTTCTGGAGGCTGAGAGTCTGAGATCAAGGTGTCAGTGTCCCAGGGCCGAGCTCCCTCTGGAGGCTCCAGGGGAGAGGGTCCTTCCTGCCTCCCCAGCTCAGGGGTCTCCAGACGGCCCTCCTCCCTCCAGGGTAAGCCTCCCTCCTTCTGTGTCTCTCTGTCCTCTTGTTTCTCATCTGAGGACATTTGATGTAGGGCCACCTCATCTCATCTCCACATCCTGAACTAGTTCCCTCAGCAAAGACTGTATTTCCAAATAAGGCCAGTCACAGCTTCTGGATGGACGTGCAGTTTGGGGGGGACTCTGTTTCCTGCAGTGCGGGGGCATGGGAGCCGTTGGCTGGAGGCAGTTTGGAACGGCAGGGCCACCGAGGGTGCAGTGAACGAGGGCATGTCTGCCGCTGGCATCGGGGCTCACCTGGGCCCCCCAGAGATGGAGCCAGTGGCTAACTCAGAAGACAGTGCAGTCAGGAGCCCTGAACCTTGCCTGACGGACCAAAGGCAGAAGCCAGGCCAGGCAAGTCCCCGGGCGGAAACCAGGGGCGCCCGCTGAAGCCGGGCAGCTTCGCCCTGATGCGGAGGGGCTGACTGGGCCAGGTTGGGGCTGTCATTGGCATGAAAGGTTTGGGAAGAAGTCATCCAAACTCCCCTTGTCCTACGTCTTGCAAAATCAGAAGCGCTGGCCCCCCGGGATTGGTGACGGTGGCAGTGGTGTGCAGTCAGCCACCCCCCTGCCAGCCCCAAGTCCCCAAGAGCACAAAACAAGCTTTATGAGACCTGCTGAGGGCCGTGTGGCCACTGAGGGGCAGAGCCGGAGCCCGAGCTGGGTGTTGTGGCCCCCGGGGCCTCTGAGCCACTGTACCGCCACAGAAAGAGCGCCACCTCGCCCCCCCATGACCCGGGAAAACGCTCAGAAGGCACCACCAAGCTCAGTTCCGTAGCTCACTCTGAGTGGGGCCATCCTAGGCCCTGCCGGGGGCCGAGTAGCACCCCTGGCCTCCACCCACCCGGTGGTAACAACCAGAAGTGTCCCCAGATCTCACCCCCATTGAGAACCTCTGGTCTAAAGCGAAACGTTTCCACGTCTCATTCTGGAGATACATGCACGTACACGTATCTTTAAAACAAACGCTCGCGCTCTTTAGCGTGACGTGGCCGGAGCCAGGCGGCCCCGCACGCGGTGTGGGTGAGGGGCTGACTTGAGGCCAGTGCCCTGGAGGCCGGGTGTGTCCTTCCTCAGCACCCTGCCTGGGACTGTGATTACCTCTTTGCGTGTCTCCCTGCCCCGCGAGGCGGACGGCATCCGGACAGCCCACTGGACCGCGGCCCTGGACGCGGCTCAGAGCGCAGGAGGCCCTCCCACGTGTGGGGCGCTGTTTTAAGTCCTTGGCATGAATTCCATCCCTCTATCCTGCAACACAGGCATTAGGACCCTCATGGTCCGGACCCCCAGGGTGGGGGCTCAGGAGCTCAGTGAACAGGGGACCCAACCGGCTCCTGGGGTTTCTCGCGCCAGGCTGTCTCCATCTCTAGGGAGGAGCGAATTCGCTCAAGAGATGAGCCTTGGGCCACGTCGGTGTCGTCAAGACAAGCCGTGTCACGCGGCAGTAACAAACAGCCCTGACACCACGGACTGCTTCTCACACCACGAGGCCGTGGCCGCGAGGGGCTGTGCTCACGGACTCTTGCTTGGTTTCCCCAAGTACGGCAGCGGGGAGCGGACCGTGGGGACACCACAGTCACTCCCAAAGCTGGCTCGAGAGAGGACTGCGCGTGGCTCCGCTCACCTGTCGGTGGTGGAGCCACGTCCTGTGGCTCCTCTCACTTGAGGGGCGTGGCGGGCCTTCAGAGCGCCCGCATGTCAGATGGGGTGGCTGCCACGTGGGGAGGGCGCACGGTGGCTCTGGAGACGCCGCCACGGGCCTGGGCGCCAGGGTGCCGGCGGGTGAGCCTTCAGGGGACCCTGACGGCAGCCTCGCGAGAGACCCTGAGCCACTGCCAAGTCCCCGACCCGCAGAAACAGGCCATGAACGCTTGCTGCCATTGCAGGCCGCTGGGCTCAGGGCAGTTTGTTACGCAGCGACACGTAGCTGCTGGGGCGCCAGTGACGGCCGAGTCTGTTCACAGCGGACCTCCCCCATGTTCTTTCCTCCTCCCGGTGGAAGGAGTTAATGTTTCGGGCTCCTGCAGGGGCCCCTGTGGGGCTCGGTCGGGTAAGTGGCCAACTCTTGATTTCGGCTCATTTCAGCTCAGGTCGTGATCTCACGTTTCGTGAGCTGGAGCCCCACGTCGGGTTCTGCGCTCACATCGCGGAGCCTGCTTCCAATTCTGTGTCCCTCTTTCTGCGCCTCCCCTACTTTCGTGCTCCCTCTCTCTCTCTCAAAAATAAGCAAATGTTTAAAAACAAAACCCAAGTCCTGCACAGGGCTGGTTTGAGGCATCGGCTCACGTGGGTGGCAGTCGTGGTAAAGGAGTGAGCACTAACGCCACCCCAGCGCTCCCCGGGGCAGTCTCACCGACTGCTGGCTCCAGCAACGGCGAGGGGCCAATGAGTGAGAAAAGAAAGGGGTTTGTAGCCCGACCGACGGAGAAGCGAGTCCCAGCTGGCAGAGAGACCCCCCCCCGCCAGGCTACACTTCTGCAGCCTCTGGGCCTCGGTTTCCTCCTCTGTCATGGGGCTCCGATCCACAGAGCTCGCTGGGTCAGCACATCCGCCCACAAGCCCCACACCGGGCAGCAGTGATGACCGCAGTGGCGGTCACGTGTTGACCAGCATGTACTGAGCACCGGCCGTGCGCCAGCCCGGCCTCCACTAAGCACCCGCTGCTTACGGGCCAGCATTTGCTGGGGTCCATTGCTCGCTGGCCCATAGAAAGGTGAGACGACGTGCCCAGGTCACACGGGAGGTGAGTGGAGCCTCCGCGTACCTTCCCTCACCTGGAGCGGAACAGACAGAGGAGGAGTGTAAGCCTCACAGTCGCCCGGCCCCCTCCTCTCTGGGATCCTTGGCCTGACCGTGAGCCCGCACCGAGCCTCAATACCTATTGGTCACGGTGGAAATGCTAACGGGCCACCAGCCACGGTGGCGCTGGGCCACCGGCCAGGCCCTAGGCTGCCAGTCCAGTGAGGGAGTGAGACACGGGGCGAACCAGCCACCCAGGCTCACCCTGCAACCCGCACGTAACCGCCGTGCTCCCCAATCAGCTCGTGAAGCCCCCTGCACGGCCAGGCCGTGCAGTGGAACCTGAGCCGTGCCCACCTTGCGCCGACAGCTCACAGCAGGGTCAGCCCCCATTCAGCTCTGCCTTTGCAGCGACCACAAGCAACATGTCAATGGATGCACGAGGCCTTGTGCCAATAAAGCTTTATTTACAAAATAGACGGGGGGGACGGGGGGGGGGCTGGGGCAGACTTGACCCCCTGGTGTAGTTTGCCTACTTTTGGCCCATGGGACTGTGACAGAATGAAATAAGCTAATCCGTATTAAACGCTGGGCTCAGCTTTTGGCCAAGAGTGACCACCCCGTAAGCGTAAATGTGATTGTCGGGCGGTCCCTGTGGGGCAGTGCCCGTTGGTTGACTTAACAGACATCTCTAGAGCACCTGCCATACGCCAAGCAGTGCTCTAGGCACTAGGGTTCCTGGGCCGACATTCCGAAAGGACATCTTACACTAAGTCGGATGGTGGTACCTGCCATGGAGGAAAACAGAGGAGGCAGGGGAGGTCCCCACAGGAAAGGTGACATCTCAGTAAAAACTCAGGAGCTGGAGGGCCTGTGGGGGAAGGGCACTCCAGGCAAAGCACATAGTCCGTGCAAAGGCCCTGGGGCTCCCCCAGGCCTGGTTTGTTGGAGGAAGATAGATGGGGACAGGGGAGGGGTCCCAGGGCTGTGCCGGACTCTGCCCAGCTGGCCCAACACGCCTATCCTCCCGCAGGACGGCCTTCAACAACAATGTCGGCGTGGCCTACGAGTGCCTGAGTGCCAGTGGGCGCAAGAAGAAGCCGGGGCTGGACGGGCGCACCTACAGCGAGCTGCTCAAGCGCATCTGCCGGGACGGGGAGGCCCCCGAGGAGGTCGTCGCACCGCTGCTGCACAAGATCCAGTGCCGGGACCATGAGGCCGTGCCGCTGGACGTCTTCCGCGCCGGGATGCTCACCTGCTTCGTGCTACTGGAGTTCGTGGCGCGGGCCGGCGCCCTCTACCAGCTGCTGGAGGACCCCACGCTGGCTGTGGCCGACCGCCGCGTGGGCCAGGCCGTGCTGGACACCCTGGAGGGGGCCCTGCAGGCCAGCGACGGAGCTGCTGTGCCTGCCTGCTTCCTGGAGGCTGGCTCGCGCCTGGGCCCCGACAGCCTGGCGCTGGCCATGGACCGTGCCCTGGTGGCTCGGCGGCCCAGCTCCCCCATGACCCGGGAGGAGTTCCTGGAGAAGGCTGCCGCCCTCTTCATAGCCAAGGTCAAGCCGGTGGGCTGAGTGCCCACACGCCTTCCCTGCCTCC